CCCAAGAATCCCTAGGCCCTGATAAATGTTTGCAAGGGTTTTTTAAAAGGGAAAGTAAGAGGAACTTATACATACCCTACAAAATGGCATAGTGCCAGACAATGGAAAAAGACAAATTAATACTTATTTTCAAAGCAGGTGACAGGCCCCTTTGCTTGAAGTGTAACCTTTTCCCCATAGTGGGGAAATTTAGGGAAACAAAAATTGCCGAGGCAATTTGAGCCATCTTGAAAAGGGAAAAAATTTTATTTAAAGAAACTCGCATAGTTTTACAAAGGGGCATTCCCCCCTTATGAAATTTTCCAACTTTTTTCCACTAAGTTTTGGGAGGTAATCATGGTAATGAAATGATTTTTGTGTTAAACGTGTTCCTCAGGTCGTGTTGGGCCTTTTTTGTTCCAATTTAATAAACGACATAGAGAAGGAATTAAAGCGACATACGAAAATTTGCTGATGACACCAAAATAGGGTCCATTATTTTGATGAGGGGATTAGAGCAGTCCAGGGAAAATTTTTTTAATAGACTGAACTGGTGGGGAAGTGGCAGATCATTTAATTAACCCCATGCAAAACTCTAGAAAATTTGGGTAAAAATAGCCATGCCACATAAACTAAAAAATTTTTAGATTTAATATTATGATTGCAAAAGGATTTGGGATTGTGGTTTTGCAGTAATCTAAAAACAAGACAAAAGTGCTTAAAGTTGCATTAAAGCGATAAATCCTTGCTTTATATCAAAAAGCATAAATAAAGGAGTCCTCAGGTTGCTCAACTCTATTATCCTTTGGTTAGGCTCATCAATTATGCTGCCAGTTTTGGGGCACCGAAAATTTCAGATGGATATAAATCTCTGGAAAAAGTTCAAAGGAGGTGCAAAGTTGATCCCAGTATCAAAATTTCCCTTTCGGGAAGACCCGAGGGCCCGAATCTGCACTCTCTAAAAAGGCGTAGAATTAGGGGGGTTTATGATGGGGTTTTAAAAATAAAGGGAAAACAGAAAAAAATTAAAAGGGGGAGTAAATAGCTTTATTATAAATCCCCCCCCCCAAAAGGGAAACAGGACTCGCAGAAAATGGTTTAAAGGGTTGGGAAAAAAATTAGATTCGGGAAGAATAAGGTAAACACGGGTTTTGGGCAATAGAGTTGTGGATAGGGAGCAAATCCCCAGTGCAGTTATAGGGGCTAAAAGTTGTGAAATTTTAAAAATAGGTTAGTAAATACATGAATGGGTGGGGGTGGGTGTGAGTTGGACCTGACTAGCTTGTTTTCCTAGGACAGATTCCCGCCCCTTCTAAAATTGGGAATGTAAACCTTTGAAACTAATTGGGTTTAGGGCATTAGCAAAAGGGCCGGTAGGAGACAGGGACTTCCCTCGCATGGGCCAGTGGGCCCTGTTGCAATGCCCCTTTCTTTTTTTATGTTCTTATAGACTGGGGGCCCCTAAATCAGCACTCTCTAGAAAGGCGTAGAATTAGGGGGGTATGATTAAGGTTTTATAAATAAAAAAACGGGAAATTAAAAAAAGGGGGATGAAAATTTACGTGTTTAAAAAATATTACCCCAAGACAGGACTCGCAGAAGGGTGTCAAGTCCGAAAAATTCAAATTCACCCAAGGATTTTAAAAAAGCATTAGTTTTGGGTAAAAAAGTTTATGAATGGTGGAACATGAGGGGGTGTGAGTGGACCGATAGCTTGGGGGAAGTTGGTTTTGACCCAAATGCCCCTTTCCCTTTAAGGGGAAATGTGCCTTGAAACGGCCCTGGGTTTGGGTCATTTGGCAAAAACCGTAGGCGATTTGGGGCCCTGCCCCACATGAGCCAGTAGGCCTGCTGCAGTGTTTCTTTTTTTTTAAGGGGTTTTAACTCTGAACACATATCCTGGGGAACAAAAATTTTCCTTTGGTATATACCTTGTGTTTTAGAAAAGGGATGGGATTTTTTTTTCAGGAAAAAGGTTTTGGTGAACAAAGACGAAAACTGGGAACGCTTGGAAGCACTTGAATTGTTTCTCTCTGGAGCGCAGAAAGAGAAATATATATTTTTTAAATTTTTTAAATTTGAAAAAACCAGAAAAAAATGACCCTAACCTTTCATACAGAAATCACTCCTACTAAAGCAAAGGGCTGGGCAGGCAAAGCAAAATAACCCCCCAAAGAAAAGTAGGGGCGCCCTTGGAACACTAAAAAGAAAAACTAATAAGGTCCGGGGCTCAAAACTGCTAAAAGCGTCCCCAAACCCAAACATATGGGGGGAATTTACCGATGGGCCCCCGCTGCCACCCAAAAGGGAGCTAGGGCAGATACTTAGAGTCGGTGCCCAATCAGCCCGGGGTGTGGGGGTTGTATGTTGGTTAAAGTGAGGCCCGCGTAACGCCTGGGGTTTATCAGGCCCCTTTTCCCCCAGGGAGGCCTGGTCGTGGACTGGGGGCCCTAGTGGCGGTTTATCCCCCGGGAAAACCCTCCCGGTAGGAAATTTCCCGGTTGGGGGCAATTCCTAACCCCAGAAGTGAATCGTCAAATCAATCTGTGTAAAAGGGGCTTGGGCTTATTGGCTTTCCCTTTTCCCCCACTGATGCCGGAAAAGGGGGCCCGATTCAAGGATCCCGGGCATATCCCCCCCCCTCCTTGAACGAACCTAAAAGCCTCCCAATTTCCAAAACTCTGGGGGTGACCCGTTGGGTTAGCGCTTTTTTCCCCCTGATTAAAAAAAAATAAAACAACAAAACCCGCAAAAGTAAGATTTTGGATCCCAGAGAGAGCCCGAACAAAACACAGGTTATGAGCGCCACCAAGGTAAACCCTGAGTATTGGGTTTTTAAAATTTAAAAAAAAAAAAGGCTACTTTTTTAATGTAAAAAAATAAATTAATAACGCCCTTTAATTTTTTTATTAAAAATTATTTTTATTAAATTTTTAAATTATTATTATATTTTTTTTTAATAATGAAATAAAAATCTTTGGGTTTTTTCAGGCTTAAAAATATCTCCTAATCGTTTTTTTTTTATGTACTCAAAAAATTATTTATCACACTAACATAAGGTCTCTCTGCTCACAGGTCATGTCGGGTGTGAGGAAGTGTATGGTAATGAGCCCACGTGGCGCTCACTGGCACTGTCCCGAGCCTTCACTACCACAGCTGCATCTCATCAAGTAGCAGCAGCAGAACAGCGGACCTCAGAACCTAAACCAGCATCTGAAATCCCAGGACCGCGTTCCTACCCATTCATAGGCACTTTTTTCTCTCATGATCTTGAACAAGTGTAGTCACAGAACAATTGATGACTGTATAATAAAAGATACCTTAAAAACACTGTACATTGACACTGCTACGTTGTTACTGGGTCTATTATCAAGATAAATGATCCAGCGCTCATGTACACGAAGGGTTCATACATAACACGGGGATTAAAAGTTTCACATGCTCCAGAATCTAATGACTTTTCATTGGTAGCATTTCTACCACCGCTGTCTTATATTAAGCCCTTACTTTACACAAATTATGGGTTGCAGTTTATGTAATGAACAAGGAACGGAAAAAAATGGACACTACCTGCCCCTCGTTCCCATTAGAATCTACACTGATATTACGAATTATAAATTAACATAAAAAACAACTATCTGCCCTCAATGATCCTCACTGGTTTTTGAGCTGTTTTGACAATTATAATAATAATAATAATCGTTATCATTCGCAAATAGCTCACACTTGCGAAAGGTACTTAAGACGACGTTTCGATCCGTCCTTGACAATGGTCGAGGACGAATCAAAACGTTGCCTTAGCTTTCTTTTTGTAAATGTTGTTATTTAATAAGACAACTATTCCAGCCACGTTATTATGACTGCTCTTAATAATGATAATAATAAAAAATAATAAAGATAATAATAAAGAATTGTAATAGCATATTTTCTTCGCAGCTTTGCTAACAACAAGATTCACATCTACTTCCGAAAGATGGTAGAGGAACACGGCCCCATCATTAAAATGGAAGTCCCATTCAATCCCGATGGTATGCATTACGGACCCAAAAACGAGGTCGAGGCCTTCATACGAGACACCATGGACAACCCAGTGAGGCATGTGTTGGAATCCTTCAAGAAGATTAGACAGGAGGATGCAGACAACTATTTTGAAAACAAAACTGGCCTATTGACAGAGTAGGTTTACATATATCAGTATCTTTACTCTCTCTCTCTCGCTCTGCCTTTCTCTCTCATTATTTGATTTCCTAAAGGTATTTCTATTATCATAATCACAATGATGAGTTATTATTTAAGTGATCATGTTCCAGGAATGGCCAGGAATGGTGGAGGGTACGCAGCAGAGTTCAGTCTTCTATGTTGAGGGTCAAGGAGGTGGTGGCCTACCTGCCTGTCATGGATCAGATTTCGTTGAGTTCATGGACAGGTAAAGCATCATGGTTAGGAGAGTCGCGTCTTGGCTATGTAACTCACATCCTGGTTAAGTGATGGAGGGTCTATGTAGTTATAAATGTCCAGGATATATCGGAGAATTCTTATATAGTTGAGGAAGAGCCAAAACATGCCAGAATGATGTTGGATGTCTTAGGACATTCCTGGATATGTTAGGAAGGTATTGTATATGAAAAGACGGTGCAGGCTATGTTAGAGATGTTCTTCATATGATAAGTAGGTCCTGGATATGCTAGAGAAGTCCAGGGTAGGTAAACATCGGTGATGTAAATGTTAAGACAAATCAACAGCACGTGTTAAGTATCTTGTTTTCCTTGACTAGAATGTTTAAGAAAGTGTAACGGCCTTTGTTAAGGCCTATGTGACTGTCACAAAGTTCCCAGAGGCTTATGTAACTGTTTTCTCCTCTCTGAAGGAGAAGGGAGATAATTGTTTTCCTAGATACAGGCTAAGGCAACGTTTCCAGCCAAGAGGGATGCCACCATCCAGTTCTTTATGACCGCTATAGTTAACAGTTTATACCTGCATCGGTGGGTTTAAGCCATTCGTAATAAGTACCGAATACTAAGATGTTAGATAACCTCGCATCAGCGTAAGGACTGGGCATTTATTTCATTAGCTGCCTTGGGGGACGCGACTCTTGTGAAAGCTCCTGGACCACTTTCCAGGAGACCACAGGCCCAAGACACCCATCGGAGCTCAGGTGTGCACCACACCAGGAGTGCTGTTAAAGTCTCCTTACCTCTCTTGCATCTAATTAGACAGGCGTGCAGCTAGAGGTTTGTGCAAGGTTTGGATAGTCAAAGACTTAAGGTAAAGTGGTGATGGGTCACAAGGCTCAAGTGTGATCTTTACGTCAAGAGCATCTCAAGTGTGTCTTATCTACGTGTTGGGCATCTCTTCTTTAAAGTGAAGTGTATTAGAACGTTATTCTGATATGGATCCAGGAACCAGATGTTACAATGTACAGTGCACACGATGTATGTTCTTCATACAACCTAGGGAGCACAACTGTTCTCTCAGTGAAGCTGAGTCTAGGAATGACTATGGGCTCCTCATAGAGAGATCCAGGAATCAAGTCGTAATTAGACAGTCATGCGAGTCACCTGCACTAGGCAAGGTGACAGATAAAGTTCCCACAAAACAGTAGTTAATTTATCAAATAGTTTTCGAAGTAGGCTCTTCAGGGCTCACGTTTGAACCCGCACTTCTAGTAAAAACAAAGACATTGCTTTCTGTTGGTCCCTGAACATGTAGATGTTCGGGGCAACGAGCGGGAGGACTCTGCTGTGCAGTCAGCTGTTCATGACCTCCCCTTTTAATATAGGGGTATTCCATTCTCAGATTATTTTGCTGTAATTTCTAAGCACCTTCGCAACCGTGGCAACGACGATAGTTTGAATTGATTCGTAGCAAGTTATATAACATCACACCTTTTTTTTAGGTTTCTGGTCTTTTTTGAAGAGGGGTTGCTTCAGGTTTAAATTTAGTTAAGTCTCTTGACGCTGGTATAGAGCCCAAGATCCAAGAAATTACAGCTGCTTTCCACTTCGTATTAAATTTGAAAACCCTCTATTTTCCAGGTGTTATATGAAACTTAAGGTGTTTAGCAATTTTCTAAATTAATTATGATATGATCTCAAGTTTTGGATAACTCCTCTGGCTCTCGTCCTCCAGAATCGCTTCACTGCAATCACAGTATGGAGAGATGCCAAGTGACTTCCTAAATGAGATGTACAAGTGGGCTCTTGAATGTACGTATCTCCTAGAACCAGTAACTACTAAACATTACTTTATTCCTGTAATACTAGATATTAGTTCTGTGATATTAGATATTAGTGCGGTAATACTAGATATTTTCAAAAACAGGTAGAAAAAAATTATATTTGCAATGGAGGAAGTCTATGCTTACATTATAATCAGGTTTAGCGCTTTTCAGTAATATAATATCTATCTCTCTCTCTTCCCCATTTTCCCTTCTCACTCTCCCCTTCTTCTACCTTCCCTCTCTCTCTCTCCCCCCCCCCTCTCTCTCTCATTCTCTCTCCCCCTCTCTCTCTCTCCTTCACCATCCCTTTTCTCTCTCATAATAACAATATTAATAAAAATTACTTTGTATTCACTTTGTCTTAAATTGATGTAATTATGACAACTTTTTTCTTAAGATTATATTTTTTTTCAATCAGCTGTTGGCAGTGTAGCCCTGAATCGTCGGCTGGGGTGTCTGGATCCAAACATCGCACCGGACTCAGAACCCATACGGATGATTAAGCTCGTAAATGAACTCTTTACTTCTCTGGTTGACGTAGAGATTTCTCTTCATATTTGGAAGTTATTCCCAACTCCAGCTTTCAGGAAACTCAGGAAGACACATCAGGAATTTCTTAAGTAAGTGATCTTCCATGAAGTCTTACGTCTCCTTGGTTCTCTGAAGATTCTATCTTGGTAAAGCTCCTCAACAGGAACCACAAATTAATAAATTTATATAATAAACACCCATATCAACCAGGTGCTACCGTCCTGCCAAATGAGTGTGAAACGAAAACCTATTAAATGTTGTACACAATGGCTACTACTATTTTCAGAGTGTATACCTCAAGCTAGCTGTGCATTATGAGTATGCACACTCGTCTGAGTTTCCTTCTAATTTTTTAATAGTATTTCCTTTTAATTCCATAGGGATTGTGAAATAGAGGTCTTTCTCTGTATGCAATACTTGTAAAATGCAACTAAAATGCCAGGAGCAAGGGACAAGAATCAATTGTTAAAAAGACAATGAAGGAAATTAAAATTCGGCCATTTGTAGCACAGATGAAAAGAAAGAACCGATTGTTAAATGTTTTGAATGAAAAAAGGTTAAATGTCTTACTTAGCACTAGGCGAAGGAAAGCTGATAATAATAATAATAATAAAATAATAATAATAATAATAATAATAATAATAATAATAATAATAATAATAATATAATAATGAGTTTTTTTAAGGAATGATTGACACCATAATGAGTTGTGGCTAGCAACAGCTCTGCGAGCATTTTGCCTATTATGATAAATTAACTGTTACGATGAATTTATTGAAGAGTGATACTAAATATCTGTTAGATTTAATATAGCTGATGAGTTTACTCTGCTGATAAATGGATGGAACATATCCTTTGCTTGTTAATATCTCATCGTCGAGTAAATATTGCCTGAAACGTCATTATGAAAGTCTTGACAAGTGCAGAATTGCGGATAAGAACATCCGAGAGACGGAGGCGGCGTTGCTGCGAAGGAGCCTAGTGATGACCGGGAACTGTACACTGATGGAGGGACTGCTCCTCAGCCAGGACTCTCCCGCAAGGACGTGGTCACCCTCATCTCGACATGCTCTTCGCTGGCGTTGATACAGTGAGAATAACATACAAGGATTTATTAATTATTGGGTCTGTAATAGAACAAAATACCGGCTCACCTGTCTAATGGGGCCAAATTATTAATGAGGAAAACTTTACCGAATAATTTTTTTTAAACTAATCTATGCTTAATTGGTGTTACACTGAGCTTGCTACACAATGGATCCACACTCAGTATGACTTCCATTAATAGGTTCGTGGAAGGTTCTTCTCACTTAAACATTGTCAATCCCTTGATATATTCCCTCTAATATAACTGTGCATTACTTAATAAATGTTATAAGAACTAAATTATTTCAGTCACCTTTCATTTCGAAAAAGATATTCCTGTACCCATAAACCTAGTATTGTTACTTGAGTGTGGGTACCATTTTACCACTTTTAGTCTTGTAATGTATTATATTATTTTACACTAAATTACTGGAGTATCGCTTCTCAAAGGAGAGCAGGTGCCTCGACGCTGGAGTGGCTTTCCATTCACTTGGCTGGCGCTATATGACCTATACAGATTTAAGGCTTTACCCTGATAAAAAAAAATAAAAACAGCTTTCAGCACCATCAAGCTTTCATGGCTAATGCGTCTTATGAAATGGATAAAATACTTGGGGATTTAGGCTGTGTAGGTGCAGATTTTACTGGATTCTTGTCAGCATCTGGAGAATACATCTACCGGGCGGTTTTAATTTTTAATTAATGAAGTGTTTTCTTCAAAGAAAGTTTTCCCTTGAATTTAGATTGTGTAACTTTAAGGTCCCAGTTTTATTATATAAATTTATTCCCACTAAATATCTCGAGAATGTCTCCTCTGATTAGAAATAAGTTAGTGATTCACTTTATTATATTTAATTAGGTTAAATATACATTGTACACATTTTTATGTATCCATACTATCTATGTGATCTTAAGATCTTTGTAAAAACATCTTCACTTCTGTTTAAAAAAAATTAGCTGATAAAATACAACATATTTTGTATATAATATATATGCCTTCACCTATATTTATCAGTATTTCTATATATAACGTTCTCAGACGTCGCACAGCCTTAGTTTCGCGCTGTACCTGTTGGCTAGACATCCGGAGGTGCAGACACGACTGCAGGAGGAGGTAGATACTGTGCTCGGGACCACAAAGGTCCACTCACTTACCAACACCTGGCCAAGTTCCACTACCTCAAGGCTGTTGTTAAAGAATCTATGAGGTATAACTTGAGCTCATTAATGCATGCATACAAGTAAATACAGTAACAATATTTTTTTTGGCTTATGTCATAAAATCAATTTGCTACATCATGAAATAATTACTACTTAATGCAGCATTTATAACGAGCCTCAGTTAAACGTGCATCGATTAAAATTACGTAAAGTCAGTATCTCACAGCCTCTTAAATATTATTTTTTTATTACAGGATGCTCATGCAATTTATTTTATCACTTTCAGGGTGATTCCTAGTGTGATGGCGTTTGCAAGAATTCTTGAAAAGGATCGTGTTATCAGTGGATACTTAATTCCTAAAGGGGTGTGTATCATTCACTATAAATTGTTAGCCATGTAGTATTTTTCATAAAAGTTGTCATAGATTCACCAGAAAGTGCAAGTATTGCCAATAATTACTGTTTTGATGATGTTCCCCGATGGACAAAAACCATCATCTAATAGTCTTGTTATTCCTCCACCGTGTATATTACTTTTGACTCTAATTTTTAATATTATTTGTATTATATTAGCACTGTATTTTACCATTTGCTGGACGTGGCCAAGAATTATACTTGGGTCCCTTGATGAATATCTGTGTAGTTTAACGTGTTTTTCTTTTTATACACAGTGGTCAGTAATGATATATAGCATGCAGATGGGTTTGGATGAATCGCTCTTCCCTCGAGCAAATGAGTTCGTACCTGAGCGGTGGTTGAGAGACAGGCCCCTGGGTCCCATTCATCCTTACTCCACAGCTCCTTTCGGCGCTGGCAAGAGGATGTGCATCGGTCGACGCATCGCAGAGCAGGAGATGTATACCTTCCTCGCTAGAGTGAGTAATCCTTTGGTTTACATATTAATGATTATGATTATACCCACTGCGTTCCTGTCTTAGTCTCGAAACTGTGAATAATATGAATACTGATTGATTTTCAAATTAAAACACTATATTATTTTTTTTTCTATCTAAAAAAACAGACTGAAATTTGTGTAGCCATAAATCGGGCGAAAATTAATCTGAACATAACTAAAAATATATTTAATTTATTATAAGAAATATATAAATTTAGATCAATAATATAACTAAAGAATTTTATTAAAAAAGTATTACTTAGCTAAGGTTAAGTTAGGTTTGTAAAAGCAAATTCACGTCATTGTCAATGAAAAAAATTGTCTACGAGGCAGGGTGACCTAAAAACAAAAACGAAAGTCTTTCTTTTTAGATTTAATTTACACAGGAGAAGGGGTTTTCAGCCCATGCTCCCGGGATTTTAATCGTTTCTTACACACCCATTGCTTACGGGGGAAGAATTCTTTTCCATTTCCCAATGGAGATAAGAGGAAATAAAGAATAAGACCTATTAAGAAAAAAGAAGAAAAACCGTGATGGGTATATATATATATATATATAATATATATATATATATTATATATATAAAATATATATATATATATATATTATAATATATATATATATATATATATATAAAATAAAAATTTATTTAAAATATATATATATATATAAATATTATATATATATATATATATATATATATATATATATATATATATTTATATATATAATATAATATATATATATAATATATATATATATATATATATATATATATATAATATATATATATATATATATATATAAAATATGTGTGTGTGTGTGTGTGTGTGTGTGTGTGTGTGTGTGTGTCGTGCGAATAGGCATACTTGCGATCTTGGCTTAAATAGCAACGCTCATCTTGCCATATAGGACAAGTGAAAATTTGTGTATCAATAATTTCGCCAAAAACATTCTGAACCTAACGAAAAAAATACATTTCACTGTGTTTGTTTATTATTAAATTATTGTAAACTTATCTAAAATATATTTAGTTAGGTTAGGCTAAAATAAATTACACTTGGCTTGTTATAATAAGGTTAGGTAAGTTTTCTAAGATTCTTTTGGTGCAAAATTAAAAATTTTTACATCAACATTAATGAAAAACATATATATTTAAACGTATAAGAGAAAATTTCAGAAAGGACTAAATTTTAAATGAGTTCTTGCTAATTGACCAGTTTTACCTATTCGGCATATATATATATATATATATATATATATATATATATATATATATATATATATATATATATATATATATATATAATATATATATGTCGTGCCGAATAGGCAGAACTTGCGATCTTGGCTTAAATAGCAACGTTCATCTTGCCATGTAGGACAAGTGAAAATTTGTGTATGCAATAATTTCGCCAAAATCATTCTGAACCTAAGGAAAAAAATATATTTGATTGTGTTTGTTTAGTATTAAATTATTGTAAACGTACTTAAAATATATTTAGTTGGGTTAGGCTAAAATAAATTGCTCTTGTTATAATAAGGTTAGGTAAGTTTTCTAAGATTCTTTTGGTGCAAAATTATAAATTTTTTACATTACCATTAATGAAAAAAATATATCTTTAAACATATAAGAGAAAATTTCAGAAAGGACTTAATTTTAAATGAGTTCTTGCTAATTGACCAGTTTTACATATTCGGCACGACATATATATATATATATATATATATATATATATATATATATATAAAAATATATATATATATTATAATATATATATATATATATATATATATAATATATATATATATATATATATATATATATATATGAACTCAAGACAAGAAAACTATTTTCCCCACTGTGAGCACATTTAACATTTGGCAACAACAGTCAGATTATTATTATTATTATAATCAAAACTAAGAACTAAACCAACAGCAGTCAGTGGCAAGAGATATAAGCGAAGCGTTAAGGGTAAATATTACATGTTTACGGCTGGTATTCGTAATTCTAACACAATACAAATTTCAAATTTCTATTACCTTTTGATTACTAGTTCATATTTCTGGGGATCGTCTCCTCTCAGACCAGATCTCCTTGTTAACCAACTAAGCAACACATTTCGGCCGATCAGATCACCTGCAAGACCTGTCAGATTCTCACACTTCGCATATAGTAAACAATACATTTACATTATATTTCTGCAAAATTTCTCGTTATATTCATACAATGGCTTTTCTATCCATCTCAGATTTGTAGCAATTAAATATTAATTTAAATACAAATTAATATGAACGTTTTATTTTATTTTTTTATTTATCACACTGGCCGATTCCCACCAAGGCAGGGTGGCCCGAAAAAGAAAAACTTTCACCATCATTCACATCCATCACTGTCTTGCCAGAAGGTGCTTTACACTACAGTTTTTAAACTGCAACATTAACACCCCTCCTTCAGAGTGCAGGCACTGTACTTCCATCTCCAGGACTCAAGTGCGGCCTGCCGGTTCCCTGAACCCCTTCATAAATGTTACTTGCTCACACTCCAACAGCACGTCAAGTATTAAAAACCATTCGTCTCCATTCACTCCTATCAAACACGCTCACCCACGCCTGCTGGAAGTCCAAGCCCCTCGCACACAAAACCTCCTTTACCCCATCCCTCCAACCTTCCTAGGCCGACCCCTACCCCGCCTTCCTTCCACTACAGACTGATACACTCTTGAAGTCATTCTGTTTCGCTCCATTCTCTCTACATTCCGAACCACTTCAAACAACCCTTCCTCAGCCCTCTGGACAACAGTTTTGGTAATCCCGCACCTCCTCCTAACTTCCAAACTACGAATTCTCTGCATTATATTCACACCACACATTGCCCTCAGACATGACATCTCCACTGCCTCCAGCCTTCTCCTCGCTGCAACATTCGTCACCCATGCTTCACACCCATATAAGAGTGTTGGTAAAACTATACTCTCATACATTCCCCTCTTTGCCTCCAAGGACAAAGTTCTTTGTCTCCACAGACTCCTAAGTGCACCACCTCACCCTTTTCTCCTCATCAATTCTATGATTCACCTCATCCTTCATAGACCCATCCGCTGACACGTCCACTCCCAAATATCTGAATACATTCACCTCCTCCATACTCTCTCCCTCCAGTCTGATATCCAATCTTTCATCACCTAATATTTTTGTTATCCTCACAACCTTACTCTTTCCTGTATTCACTTTTAATTTTCTTCTTTTGCACACCCTACCAAATTCATCCACCAATCTCTGCAACTTCTCTTCAGAATCTCCCAAGACCACAGTGTCATCAGCAAAGAGCAACTGTGACAACTCCCACTTTATGTGTGATTCTTTATCTTTTAACTCCACGCCTCTTGCCAAGACCCTCGCATTTACTTCTCTTACAACCCCATCTATAAATAAATTAAACAACCACGCTGACATCACACATCCTTGTCTAAGGCCTACTTTTACTGGGAAATAATCTCCCTCTTTCCTACACACTCTAACTTGAGCCTCACTATCCTCGTAAAAACTTTTCACTGCTTTTAGTAACCTACCTCCTATACCATACACCTGCAACATCTGCCACATTGCCCCCCTATCCACCCTGTCATACGCCTTTTCCAAATCCATAAATGCCACAAAAACCTCTTTAGCCTTATCTAAATACTGTTCACTTATATGTTTCACTGTAAACACCTGGTCCACACACCCCCTACCTTTCCTAAAGCCTCCTTGTTCATCTGCTATCCTATTCTCCGTCTTACTCTTAATTCTTTCAATAATAACTCTACCATATACTTTACCAGGTACACTCAACAGACTTATCCCCCTATAATTTTTGCACTCTCTTTTGTCCCCTTTGCCTTTATACAAAGGAACTATGCATGCTCTCTGCCAATCCCTAGGTACCTTACCGTCTTCCATGCATTTATTAAATAATTGCACCAACCACGTTTTAATAATTATTATTATTTTTTATTATTATTTATTCATACAGGTGATGCAGCGCTTCACAGTTGATTACAAGTATGAAGATATTGAACTTATTTTTCGTCTGGTGCTTAACTCTGAGAGACCCCTTAAGTTCAGTTTCAACGGAAGGGCGCTGAGGCACTGTGAGAGGCACTACTACTGCCAGAGGTGTTGAACTACTGTGAGATATACGGACGGACTACTGTGAGAGACGTACAAACTACTGTGAGCGGTGCAACGAATTTTCAATTTTTTGGTGCTATTATTATTCTTGATGAAAGTTCATGTAATGTGCTGCTGGTGTTACATGTGTTGAAAGTGATACCTGTGTTATATATAATACATGTACTTCAGGTGATATATTATAATAATATGCTTGATAAAAGCTTAATTCTTTGTTCCATAATAAATCTGAAACTGTACTGAGACAGAGAACAACAAAAATAAAACAGCGCTCGTCATTATTACTCTCATATTCGTAAACAAAATAAATCTGGTTCATGGAGTGTACATTATAATATTCAGATTTTCTTCCGTGCAGCAAATGTCTTCAGATAAAAAATTTAGTTTTTCGCATTTCAAGAATCAGAACATTTTAAAAAGATATAAATAATTCAGTGACCTGAACCTCTCTTAACTCTGCACAGTTTCTACGAATGTTATTCACTGGAGAGTTCCTGATCCAGGGAATTGGAGTTAACGCTGCCTTCCTCCCATTGGATCAAACCTGATTACTTCCTGTTTTCTCCTCCAGGCTTTGCAAAGCCCTTACAGGCTTAGCGTTTTCATATAATAACTAAATAAACATTTCCTATAAGTTTTTCGATATTCCATAACATATCTTGATGAGTTTTTTGTTTATTATATAAACTATATACGAATAATCAGCATGATGAAGTTCCTAGGTGGACGAAAGAGATATCAGGAAAACAATTGTCTTTCATTTTCGGCCTCTACCCTTCAGACAGAACTGGTTGCCATACTCCTTGCACTGAAATGCATCTATGTATCTAAGATTGACAGTTTAATTGTAACTGATTCTCTGTCATCCATAAATGCTCTCAACTAAATTAAGCATAAATTGGGGCATGCTTGTGTCAGAAGCCAGACACAGGTATTGGTAAGATTGTGGACAGTGGAGTCAGAGTATACGCGCTATGGATTCCATTCACATTGGTCTTCAGATGCATGATAGAACTGATAAATTGGCTAAGCTGTATGCTTTCAAAGAGGGAGTAGATTACAATCTTGGCTTGTCAGGTAGTAGTTTGAGAACAATAATACGAAAAGAACTTCAACTGAATTTTATTGACTTAAGACTCAGGGAGATTGACACCAATGAGTCCATCTATCATCATTCTATCATGCAGGAGGAGCCACATGTCTATGGTGCATCCAACAAAATAAGCAGACTCTTGGATGTCACTACCGCCCGGCTCCGGCTGGGTTACAAGTATCTTTTAGCAGGTTAAATCACCACCACCAGATGTAGACCAAACGAAATGTAAACTTTGCCAGATGGACTATTGTCACACCCTGCGTCATTATGTACTGGAGTGCGATAAAATTAATGAATTTAGAAACAACTCACTCAGAAGTGTTCAAGAAATGGCAAAGTATTTTATCCACAGTGGTATATTACAGACCATTCTGGAGAAATACCCTGACTTTGCTAGCTGTAAATAAAGCATTACCACATGTGTGCGTGTGTGTGTGTGCGTGTGTGTGTGTGTGTGTGTGTGTGTGTGTGTGTGTGTGTGTGTGTGTTGTGTGTGTGTGTGTGTGTGTGTGTGTGTGTGTGTGTGTGTATGTGTGTGCACTCACCTAGTTGAGATTGCAGGGGTCGAGTCCAAGCTCCTGTGTGTGTGTGTGTGTGTGTGTGTGTTTGTGTGTGTGTGTGTTTGTGTGTGTGTGTGTACTCACCTATTTGTGGTTGCAGGGGTCGAGTCTTAGCTCCTGGCCCCGCCTCTTCACCGGTTGCTACTGGGCCCTCTCTCTCCCCGCTCCATGAGCTTTATCAAACCTCGTCTTAAAACTGTGTATGGTTCCTGCCTCCACTACGTCATTTTCTAGGCTATTCCACTGCCTTACAACTCTATGACTGAAGAAATACTTCCTAAATCTCTCTGACTCATTTGTGTCTTCAACTTCCAATTGTGGCTCTTTTTTTCTGTGTCCCCTCCTGGAACATCCTGTCTTTGTCCACCTTGTCTATTCCACGCAGTATTTTATAATGTCGTTATCATGTCTCCCCTGACCCTCCTGTCCTCCAGTGTCGTCAGGCCGATTTGTGTGTGTGTGTGTGTGTGTGTGTGTGTGTGTGTTGTACGAGTTTGTGTATGTGTGTGTGTGTGTGTTTGTGTGTGTGTGTGTTTGTAAAGTGTGTGTGTGTTTGTGTGGTGTGTGTGTGTGTTTGTGTATGTGTGTATGTGTATGAGGGTGTGTGTGTGTGTATGAGGGTGTATGGGGGTGTGTGTGTGTGTGTGTGTGTGTGTGTGTGTGTGACTCAACAATCAACATTTGCACCAATAACTCATTACAGTTGTGACCGGGTGTGGAAGTGTGAATTGCTCATTACTCTGGAATTTGTTCATGATTGTACCCATGTATAAACGTAAGTAACCATTCTTACAGGATTCGTACCTTTGTACCTAGTTCAGCTATCAAAACTTTGGGGGCCCCGTCCCTGAACCCATTACGTACCTCTGTAATCTGTAAATACCTTGTAACTTGTCATAATTGTGACTTGACCTACCTGGGGTTCATTACCTTTGTAAATTGTGAGTTCATTACCTCTGTAACTTGCTCAGCTATCAAAACTTTGGAGTCCAGTCCCTTGACCAATTATGTACCTCTGTAATCTTTTGACTACCGCCCACAGGATGGGTATGGGGTGCATAATAAACATATTAAACTAACTTTCATTTTCCTTCAGAAACGAGGAAGATGTCGCACCATGACTTGGCTTACAACCTACATTTTACGTCTTCGACTCCCCATCCCTCTTCATTACCTGTACTCTAACAAACTTTGGGCTGCCAATAGTTACTTATATGTATCGTACTTTAACTATTTCCGTCAATTTATTCACTTTCACCTCCCTTCTAACCATTGATGGCATTCTCTTTGCACCCCCATATATTTCAGTTACCACTGTATAATATGATGGATTTATGAAGGATGAGATCAATCATAGAATTGATGAAGAAAAAAAGGAGAGTGGTACTTTGAGGTATATGTGGAGACAAAAAACATTCTCTATGGAGGCAAAGAAGGGAATGTATGAAAGTATAGTAGTACCAACACTCTTATATGGGTGTGAAGCTTGGGTTGTGAATGTTGCAGCGAGGAGGCGGTTGGAGGCAGTGGACATGTCCTGTCTAAGGGCAATGTGTGGTGTAAATATTATGCAGTAAATTCGGAGTGTGGAAATTAGGAGATGTGAAGTTAATAAAAGCATTAGTCAGAGGGCTGAAGAGGGGTTGTTGATGTGGTTTGGTCATTTAGAGAGAAAAGGATCAAAGTAGAATGACATGGAGAGCGTATAAATCTGTAGGGAAGGAAGGTGGGGGAGGGGTCGTCCTCAAAAAGGTTGGAGGGAGGGGTAAAGGAGGTTTTATGGGCGAGGGGCTTGGACTTCCAGCAAGCGTGCGTGAGCGTGTTAGATAGGAGTGAATGGAGACGAATGGTATTTGGGACCTGACGAGCTGTTGGGGTGTGAGCAGGGTAGTATTTAGTGAAGGGATTCAGGAAACCGGTTATTTTTACATAGCCGGACTTGAGTCCTGGAAATGGGAAGTACAATACCTGCACTCTAAAGGAGGGGTTTGGGATATGGGCAGTTTGGAGGGATATAGTGTGTATATGTTATACGTATATGCTTCTAAACTGATGTATTCTGAGCACCTCTGCAAAAACAGTGATTATGTGTGAGTGAGGTGAAAGTGTTGAATGATGAAAGTATTTTCTTTTTGCGGATTTTCTTTCTTTTTGGGTCACCCTGTCTCGGTGGGAGACGGCCGACTTATTAATACAGGAATACAGGGGCCCTAGCTATGCCAGTACCATCACTGAATGGGAGACTCTTGCTGCTTCAGCACCAAACCCTAGTGCAGCACTGGCTCACAAACAGTCAAGCTGGGATGGTGCTTGCCAACATGCTCAGGGCTGCAACATCAGATATGGAGACTGCCCGTCTCCATGCTGTGAGTGCACCTCACTCCAGGGACTTCCTCCAAACAGTTCCCCATATCGGCAATGGGAACACGCCTCGACCCTAAGACTCTCCGTATTGCAGTGGCTCTGCACCTTGCTGCCCCAATTCACACAGAATATACGTGTATTTGCGGCGAAGTGCAAGCAGACCAATACGGTCTACATGGTCGTAATTGTTCCAAAACCAAGGGCTGGAATACAAGGCACAATGAGGTCAACGACATCATTAAAACAACCCTTGCTACAGCTGCATGCCCAGCCGAGAGGGAGCCCCGATCACTAGCAGCCAACAATACCCACAACCCAGCAAACCGCCCCGACGGGATCACCATCTATCCTTGGAAGAATGGCAAGCTCTTAGCATGGGACTATACCTGTGTGTCCACACTGGCTGACACCTATATCCATCACAGTGTGGGGCGACAGGGAGGAGCTGCTGACCACAGGGAGGAGTACAAGATCAGCAAGTACAGGGACCTAAGACAACAGTATCAATTGTCCCAGTGGGATCAGAGCCCTTTGGGGATCATGGGAGAAAATGCCACACGTTTCCTTAAAGAATTGGGTTCCAGACTCATCGACACCACCAGGGACCCAAGGGCAGCCACTTTCATGTTCCAGCGCCTCAGCGTGGCCATCCAAAGGGAAATGCTTGCTGCATACTTGGCTCGCGTCCGGCTTCGGAAGAGCTGGAGGAAATTCATGATTTTTAATACATTGTACCATTGTATTCATGTTTGTGTTTTTCTGTAAATGTATTCCTGTTTATTTAATAAATGTTCACATAGAATATTAAATATATGGGGGTGGTAGAGAAGAAATATTAAAAACAGCTCCGGGGAGAACCTTGAGTTTTCCCTGAGGTACGTTTATTGTCTTCTCTGAGGATGAGGGTCCCCATTCCAACTATAGAGGTGGTACTTCCCTATATTTTAAATATAAATTATATATATATATATATATATATATATATATATATATATATATAAATATATATATATATATATATATATATAAATATATATATAAAATATATATCGTGCCGAATATGTAAAACTGGTCAATTAGCAAAAAACTCATTTAAAATTAAGTCCTTTCTAAAATTTTCTCTTTTACGTTTAAAGATATATTTTTTTCATTAATATTAATGTAAATTTTTTTAATTTTGCACCAAAAGAATCTTAGAAAACTTACCTAACCTTATTATAACAAGAGCAATTTATTTTAGCCTAACCTAACTAAATATATTTTATATTTGTTTACAGTAATTTAATACTAAACAAACACAGTGAAATGTATTTTTTTCGTTAGGTTCAGAATGATTTTCGCGAAATTATTCCTTACACAAATTTTCACTTGACCTATATGGCAAGATGAGCTTTGCTATTTAAGCCAAGATCGCAAATTCTGCCTATTCGGCACGACATATATATATATATATATAATATATATAAAATATATTATATATATATATATATATATATATACATATATAATATATATATATATAGTACATATATATAATGTCGAACTTCTAAAACATGTGCATCCAGGAATCTACCAATTATCCTTTATTGTGTAGAATACAGGGGTGTCTGTATGACTAATTTGTCAATTATTCAATCGGGTCATTAGCTGAATCCAATCCAAGAACCTGCCATCCCATCCCTCGATAATGTGGATTACTTACCTTTGTTTCTGCACAATGTACGTAATGTGTTCCTGGGTATAGACATGATTCCTGAAGTTCAATGGAGGGACTTCTCATTATGGCCTATATCATGTCTTATGTACTTATTTGTAATCTTTTTCATAAAATAACTATTGCCTTTTACCAAAGCACTTTCTGTATATAATTCAATTCGAGACCTTCCAATATCATTTACCTCTGGCACTCCATAATTACCTACCGCACCCTCTATAACACAGTTTCTTTCCAATTTGGAATTTAGGTCTTCCTTGACACCTTTTTTATAATTGATTCGAAAATCCCTAAACATCAGCATAACACTCACAAAATTCTGTCTGCCTATCTCTCTCTTTCATTCCCGTCTCTTTCCCAAGGTCATAAACACTACTATAACCCATTTCTAATGTTTATTTAATTCTTGAATATAAACTCCTATACCGCTCTTTTCCGACCATAGTCAATTATTTAATAATAGTGCTACCTCTTTGTTTTAGCTCTAGTTCTCTCCAATACACCTGCTCATTTCCACTGAAATCCTCCCACCCTTTTTTCGCTGTTTAGATTAGTGCCATGATATCCAGCTTTCACTCCTGACATGAGCAATTAATTCTTTCTTTTCATCTTTACTACATCGTACATTCAGAGAGCCCAACTGAACGCTTTAATTCCTTTTTTTTTTTTTTTTTTTTTTTTAGTATTTCATATAGAATGGGTTGCTAGCCCCTTGCGCCAGGCATTTTAGTTCCATTTTTCAACACGCTTGGCTTAAGGATTAAAAATTCTGTTTTTTTTTTCCCTGAACTACAAGGACAAGATCTGGTATAAATTTTGAAGGAAACTCAGATGAGTTTGTATACACATAACATGTGTTTACGCATGTGTAGTCTGTACTGGGCGGTAGTAATAACAGTAGTAGTAGTAGCAGCAAGATGTACTTGTCATCGTATGTTAATGAGACAGAGAGGAAAGACACCAGCAATCCTCCCATTATGTAGAACAGTTAAGAAGTTTGTGCTTCATACTCATTTGGATAGACGACAGTACCTCCCTAGGTGATTGTTGTCTACCATCCTTCTACACACACATCTTTGCAGGTTTAAGTTCCTTGTAGGGGGTGACCGCCCCCACGACCCGATCCCAGACCTACCTTCTCGGTTACTGCCCCAAGACGCCTTCCCACTTCACAAGTAAACATTCCTCCGACAAAATTCCTATACTCCATCGTGACGGTAACTTATAAAGCAAATTATTCTGACAGCAAGTTTAAATGATAGATTTAGACATAAATTCATACATAGTGTGCAATCACTGACGACTTCTGGCAGCTATTGGCAGTGAAACAGCATGTGTTTATTGATACGTATAACCAGGGTGCTTGATGGAGATAAGAAAGGCAGAAAAAGAAAAACAGATAAGGGCGTGAAAGAGTATATGTGAACGCTACTCCCTTCATTTAAGTCTAGACACTCATGGTTGGATAAATATGTGCAAACCCTCATTTACTAGCTAGAAAAAAATCCTGAAAACAAAAGCAAGGATTGAAGAATCTGGCGGTATCTGTGAATGAATTTCTAATCTTGCTCAAGGTCTCTTGTCCTGTCAGTAGGTTTTGTGCAGTGTGGAAGAAAGGAGTGTTGTCTCAACGAGATACGTGTAACTCTTTGAATACTAGTAAGCAATCAACAGTTTTTATTACGAGTGAAGCATCTGAGTGTTGGCATTAGACGCCTCTTCCATTATACTGTAGTGAGAGGCTACTGCGTATAACTAACTTGTGTACACAAATAAACCTCACATAGAAAGAAACTGAGGACGACGTTTCGGGTTATTTATGTATTGTTCAGTCATGGTATTATACCTTTTTATTCTTCAATATGTTGGGTGTAAACAAGCAGGATGAGATAGTGTTGTACACTGATGCACTTTCGTGTAAGTTATTATATATCACTCACCCAGACTGATTACTGTATAAAATAATAAGAACGCTTAAGAGGATCATTTTTATGATAAACAGAAAACAGAGCCTTTTTTTTACTAACATCTTGCCATTTAAGACTCAAATTATAATAATGCTTGCTCTTAATAATGGGTGTTATGGAAAATTTTCTAGGGTGCTTACCTGTATGTACCTCAACATTATATACATACCAGTAATCTCATTGGGAGACAATCATATTGTTTACCGTAGTCACCCCGTGTAGACATGTGAGAAAACTTAACCACCCCTGGTCGCACCAAGTGGTCCCCTCGACCTCACAATCTTATCCATATCTATCCGAGACCAGTATGGATTGGGTAGCACCCACAAGTACGGTGCTACTAATTAATTGTGGACTGTATAGATTATATTAGTTTAGCTGAATGAAGGGGAGGGGGGTAGGATACACCTGGATACATCCATCAAGGAAAACATTTTATACATAATCCCACCACTTACCAGATGTTCTCTGGTGGTCACTTGATGTAGTTGGATCACTCATAACCTATCTAATTACAACATAACACCACTGGCCAGCATAGGTTTGTTATAACTAGAAGGGTTACTTAACTGTGGGTGATTGATACTCCTTATTTCTTCCATTCACCATCTCAGTTTCGATGTCCTGCTACACCGACACGGTTCTCATTCCGGCAGGACGAGGTATCCGTCGGTTTGTCCCGGTTAGAAGTCGTGATTCCATAAATCTCCATTATCCCCTGTACGAGAGTCACACGTTCACTCGGAGCAAGGCGCTCTATTTCACATCCCGCATTCTCTTAACTCAATGTTATTATCACTGATTACATTACCATTCACAAGACGATTTAACGTCTCATAACTATTATACAAATTAGAGGTCACTCCATTAAGATCTGAGGCCGATGAGCAAGGATTAACACACGGGTATGTCCCCTGGACACACCCTGGCCGTGCACCTGCCACCCCGTCCTACTCTTATCACACTTTTTACCACTCTATTACCATGGTCCCGTAAATCACGTTCCCTCACTCTCCACCAGGAACAGTTACGACACTTCTTATTATGAAATGAGGCCTATATTAATCCTTAGGCCGCCGTGAATGTCAATTTCGTGGTTCCATGCTTTCTCAGCTTCTTCACCACCTTCAAAACAATCCGCGCCTCCCCCCCCCGCACATCCGCGCATGCGCAAAGGGAACTCTTGGTTCTACTCTTATTTTCAAATACATTTTTGACCCATATAGACACATTAAACACCTATTAGGCACTATAGTTTCGGAAAATTAAAAAATTTTCCACACTGCGGCCGGGCGGAGGTCGTTGCTAGACGACTTACATAATGTGGAGTACAATTTTCCCATCTTCACTGGCCACCCATATTTATTGAACCCTCAAAATGGACTAATTAGTGTTCCATCCTCTCAGGGGCATAAGCCTATGCTCCCTGGATTAATTTATTGGGCATACTGGAATTATGAGACTTTAACAATAACAAGTCTCTCTCAGTATCCCAAGTCAGCCCCAGCACATTACTGCATATAGGCACCAACTCCATGGCCATCCATATTTATTGAACCCTCAAATGGACTAATTAGTGTTCCATTCTCTCAGGGGCATAAGCCTATGCTCCCTGGATTAATTTATTGGGCATACTGGAATTTTGAGACTTTAACAATAACAAGTCTCTCAGTATCCCAAGTCAGCCCCAGCACATTACTGCATATAGGCACCAACTCCATGGGCATCTATATTTATTGATTCCTCAAAATGGACTAATTAGTGTTCCATTCTCTCAGGGGCATAAGCCTATGCTCCCTGGATTAAGTTATTGGGCATACTGGAATTTTGAGACTTTACCAATAACAAGTCTCTCAGTATCCCAAGTCAGCCCCAGCACATTTCTTCATTATTTCATTAACCCCTTCACATATCCTCATTAGTTCCTCTTCAGTTGACGTCACACCCGGAAATTGTCCACATAAGATTATTTACCCAATTACTTCGCTCAGTGGACCGCCTGTGCACTTAAGGTGTGCATTTATCGTCGCCTGAAGTAAGAACAATTTATTATTTAACTGCTTATTAATTATATCATTATAAGCAGTCAACAATTTTGGTGTCTTGCTCAGTTCGCAGAGCTGGGCCCTTTAACTGTCCATACGCCATCCTATAATTAGTAGGTAATTCTGGACGGTCAAGCTTCCACGGAAGTCGCACCCAGTAATGTCCAATTCACATTTAACATCCTTCAGGTATTGTTCCTGAGTAAAGGAATCATTTGGACTTTCCTCATTTACATTTAATCCCTATGCTGTCCAGCTCCCACAAATTAGACTGGTTCAACATCATTCTCGATAGAAGAATACTTGTACTGGGTTGACCTTTCATGAGTAAGACACCGTGACCGTATTCACTACTTCCTCTAGTCATTATTACTAGGCGGTAGTCTGCCATATATTACATGGCCCGTACCAGTGTTGAGGAGAGTGACACCGTATGGTTTTGGGTTTATGCCCTTTATCCTGAATTTTTACATCCAACACCGGCAAGGCTACCTCAGCTAGGCCATCATTATTGCCATTAGCTGCAAACCTTTACATCAGTCACTGTAGTGTCAGGGTTATTAACATTATCATTATTGTCACCATTATTATAAGAATCACATACAACCCTGCACATAACTGTATGGTGCTTTCCCTTGTTGCATTGATAGCAACTGTTCAATTTGGTATGACAATCCTTTACATTATGATTGTCTAGACATCTGATAAATCTGTCAAGTTCTTTCATTCTTTCCACTTTAATATCCCATGAATTACAGGCATTACAATTTTTAGTGAAATGAGTACCCTGGCAGAAGAGGCAGTCTCTCTTTTCCTTGCCTGACCTCTTATTAACTGGGTTACACTTACCGAGGTACTTATTCCTCTTACCTTGATGTGAGGAACCACTATTACTGATTCCTGACTTGATATGTGCCTATTTAACTCTTAACTATGATTATTACCACTGGGATTAATTTTCCCTTTTGAGACTTGACAGATACTTCAGCGTCGTTATGTGCTATATCCTTAGAACTGTTTGGCTGGCTGGTCTGCAATTGAACAATTAATTCCTGCCGACCTAGTCTGATTTCCTCCAGACCGTACTATGGAGGTTTTGGCAAACCCACCCTTTGCATTAATAGGTTGATCAGCTGCCTGGCTTACACCCTTTAATTTATTCAAAGCCTTACTTTTACAAGACAGTTTTTCTTCCAATTCGTAATGTTGATTAATTAAAACATTCATTTCCATTCCATCTGCACAATTCTCCAGCAGATCTCTTTCACAGTCTTTAAACCACAATTTGTACCAATCAAATCTACTCTCTAAAGCATCTAAATATAACTTTAATTCATTAGGGTTCACGGTTCTTTGATTCACTAAATCAAATGCCTTCGTCACATGGCTTTTAATAGCCTGTAATGATGCTTTCATTACTCTAAAATTCACGGACTTGTCAGCCACATTAACTCCATTAGATCCAGTCATGGTTAGAGAATTATTAATCACTGATTATACAACTTAAGTAGGCGCCTTATAAGAGTAATTCTTGCACTTTACTCTTGTATAAATCCTAGCCACCCATGTGCTAGCAATTAATTGGGCTAATTGTCATCCATCACACGATCGATTAAACTTGTGCACCCTACACCCACTTCCTTCAATCAGTCACTTAATTATTAAGTAATTAATTCAATTAATTTTTTCACTGATTGCCTCCGGTTCAGGAAGGACCAACGGGCAGATATGGAAAATTTTCTAGGGTGCTTACCTGTATGTACCTCAACATTATATACATACCAGTAATCTCATTGGGAGACAATCATATTGTTTACCGTAGTCACCCCGTGTAGACATGTGAGAAAACTTAACCACCCCTGGTCGCACCAAGTGGTCCCCTCGACCTCACAATCTTATCCATATCTATCCGAGACCAGTATGGATTGGGTAGCACCCACAAGTACGGTGCTACTAATTAATTGTGGACTGTATAGATTATATTGGTTTAGCTGAATGAAGGGGAGGGGGGTAGGATACACCTGGATACATCCATCAAGGAAAACATTTATACATAATCCCACCACTTACCAGATGTTCTCTGGTGGTCACTTGATGTAGTTGGATCACTCATAACCTATCTAATTACAACATAACACCACTGGCCAGCATAGGTTTGTTTATAACTAGAAGGGTTACTTAACTGTGGGTGATTGATACTCCTTATTTCTTCCATTCACCATCTCAGTTTCGATGTCCTGCTACACCGACACGGTTCTCATTCCGGCAGGACGAGGTATCCGTCGGTTTGTCCCCGGTTAGAAGTCGTGATTCCATAAATCTCCATTATCCCCGGTACGAGAGTCACACGTTCACTCGGAGCAAGGCGCTCTATTTCACATCCCGCATTCTCTTAACTCAATGTTATTATCACTGATTACATTACCATTCACAAGACGATTTAACGTCTCATAACTATTATACAAATTAGAGGTCACTCCATTAAGATCTGAGGCCGATGAGCAAGGATTAACACACGGGTATGTCCCCTGGACACACCCTGGCCGTGCACCTGCCACCCCGTCCTACTCTTATCACACTTTTTACCACTCTATTACCATGGTCCCGTAAATCACGTTCCCTCACTCTCCACCAGGAACAGTTACGACACTTCTTATTATGAAATGAGGCCTATATTAATCCTTAGGCCGCCGTGAATGTCAATTTCGTGGTTCCATGCTTTCTCAGCTTCTTCACCACATTCAAAACAATCCGCGCCTCCCCCCCCGCACATCCGCGCATGCGCAAAGGGAACTCTTGGTTCTACTCTTATTTTCAAATACATTTTTGACCCATATAGACACATTAAACACCTATTAGGCACTATAGTTTCGGAAAATTAAAAATTTTCCACAGGTGTCTTCATCATGGAATGTCCCTCCTCTCCTCAGATCAAACCTGATTACTTCTCACTCATTCAGTTCCGCAGGTGCTGATTGAGCCTTATGAGTTTACCGCTTTCTTGTAATCGTTATCATTGTTATCATAATTAATAATTGTAGTATAGTAGTAGTGTGAATTTGAATTGCCTTCTCTTTCTTAGATGAATCCTGATTGTCTCCCATTCCTAAGTTGTGTATGACCCTTACAGGTTTAGCCCTTCATATTGAACATCATCTACTACTACTACTACTACTACTAGTAGTAGTAGTAGTAGTAGTAGTAATAAATGCTAGATAAACAGGAGCGAAAATTGTGAAGAGGTTTGCCCAGAGTTGAACCTGGATCCTTCGGTTGTGAGACGGAAAGTTCTTCCATTGATCTGAGCTGGAGTTTGGTCCACCCAAAGTGACGGATAGATGGCTGATTGGTTAAGTGAGTTTAAAGGCTATCGACTACACGAGGGTCATTAGGCTGCACATAACTTTTACACCACGAGTCAAAATTACTGTTGTCAGTATACATACACAACACCTGGGTATATTTACTCTTCCGTGATAGACACCAACAGGAGTCAGTGTCTGAACTTGAGGGATATACCTTGATATTGGTGAGGGGAACTTTTTTTTTTTTGCCTCCCATTTCCCAGTCACTATATAACTTATGGATTTAGCGCTTCCGCTAATTAAAATTAATGAAATATGGAAACGGTACATAAGAGAGCTGAACAAAACAGGTTATGACTTCTGCCAGGGTATATAATAAAACAATAATAATAAAATAGTGTATTTGTGGCAGTGAAGCAGCAGACCGATTCGGGTACCATGGTCTTGTGTGCCGTAAATCCGAGGGAAAGATTGCAAGACATGAGGAGGTTAATAACATTATCAAGAGGAGCCTCACAACAGCTGGATGCCCAGCAGTAAGGGAGCCACCCCAACTATGCAGATCTGATGGCAGCCAGAAGCGTCCAGATGGTATCACCCTTCAAGCCTGGACAGATGGGAAGCAGGTGGTGTGGGACTATACATGTGCATCTACCTTGGCTGATACCTATCTCCAATACACCAGGGAGGAAGGAGGGGCAGCTGCCAGCTTTAGGGAGTCCCAAAAGTCTAGAAAATATGGAGAACTTGCCCATCATTATATGTTTGTTCCCATAGGCTCAGAGACCCTTGGCTCATGGGGAAAGAGTGCATCTAATTTCCTTAAGGAGTTGGGAAAAAGACTCATCAGGGTAACTAGGGATCCCAGGGCAGCTAGTTTTCTGTTCCAGCGGCTCAGTGCGGCTGTTCAAAGGGGTAATGCATGCTGCATTTTGGGCACACGCCCCAGCTCTGAGGAGCTGGATGAGATTTTCGCCTTATAATCGGTGATACACACGTAACAACATGTACCGTATATGCCACCTTTATATCAACAATGTATCTCTTAAATCTTCTGTGCCATATTATGTAATAAAATATTCCTATTGGTAAAAAAAAAAAAAAAAAATAGTTCAAAAGATGGGGTGGTAGGGGAAGTGGAATATTCAAATGGCTTCAGGAAGAAATCCAAATATTCTTCCTTGAAGCCTTTTTATCCACTTCTCCGAGGCTATGGGTCCCACAATTTACACCAGAGGTGGACCCCACCCTTAATAGAATAATATATAATACATAATAATAATACGTAATAATAATAAAACAAGGAATCGAAGAATCTCTGTTTTTTGTGCCCTTAAATTTTAAGTGAATATTTCCTCTTAATTGAATGCGCTGTAAACGCAAAATGAATAATCTCGATAACGTATGAATTCCCTTTGTCCCCAGGTCATGTCGAGTGTGGGGAAGTGTGTGGTAGTGAGAACACAATGGCCCCCACTGTCCCGAGTCTTCACTACCATAGCTGCTACTCGCCAAATAACAGCAGCAGAACAACGGACCTCAGAGCCTAAACCAGTGTCAGAAGTTCCCGGACCTAGGGTGTACCCACTCCTTGGTTGTTTGCCTTCCATAATCTTTGACAAATGTACGTTATCAGCATTTAGTGACTAAATGATAATTGATATCAACGGGACAGGAAAAACAGAAGACTGATTAGTTAAAAGATTTACCTGACAATCACAAAAACATTAGTAGAATAATTCATGGAAGATAGCTATGAACAAGTCAGAAAAAAATATTGTTTATATGGAGAAAATGTTGGCTGAGAACATATTTTTAATCGCAATAACATTACTGCATATCCATAAGCGACACTATTTAATATTCACTGGCATTACAGGATAAAACGGTAGTAAATACCTCTGAGCGTCTTCGGTGTTACTATAAAGTTAAAGATTAGCTTTAAAAAGTAATATCTGCGCTAAACGACCCACCTAGGGTGCGCTTTGATGAATAAAATAATAATATTATTTAGCGCTTAGTTTTGATTGTAATAATAATAATAATAATAATAGTAATAATGTCATTTTTCTTCACAGCCTTCAGTAGTAACAAGCTTCATCTCTACTTTAAAAAGATGATAGAGATTCACGGCCCTATCATTAAACTGACAGCGCCGTTCACACTGCCGATGATATGCATAACTAACCCATACGACGCTGAGAACCTCGTACGAGCCACAATGGACGCATCACTCAGGCAGGGGTTCGACTCCTTGAAGATGATTAGACTGCAGACTGCAGACAGCTATTTTGAAGGCAAAACTGGAATAATGACCGAGTACGTTGACACTTATCAGATCAGTATCTCTTTCATTACTTCTTTTTTGTAAAGGTACCTTTATTATACGCAGTCACAATAATTAGTATTAATTATATGATTATGTTCCAGGAATGGCGAGGAGTGGTGGAGAGTACGCAGCCGAGTTCAGCCTTCTATGATGAGAGTCAAGGAGGTGGTGGCCTACCTGCCTGTCATGGATCAGATTTCTTTGGAGTTCATGGACAGGTAAAGCATCCTGGTTAGGCAAGTCACATCCCTGTTAGGTGAGACACGTTTTGGTCAGGTTAGATACATCCTGTTTTGGGAAGACATGTCCTGGTAAGGTTAGATTAGGTAAGATTTGTTAGGAAACAGGACAAGTGTTTCCTGACGCGGGTTTTAGTCATATGATGGCCCGCTGCTGGAGTTGGACTATAAATTATATAACCATTTTCTGGTAAGGTGAGGCACGTCCTGGTTGGGTGAGGTTGGTTGTAATAGGTATATTACAGATATCCTGGATATGTGAAGAATTTCCTAGATGAGGGTGTTCCTGGATATTTCAGAAATATGTTTATTATATTAGGAAAGGCTTTATATATGCTAGAGACATTCGACGTATGTTAGGGATGTCCTGGATAAGCTAGTGGGGTAAGGGTCAATTAAGATCAACTTGCCAGGAGTTGGCAATACGTAGATACCTGATGAAAAGGACACAAATACGGAGGGGTCCTTTCAGCCAACACTGGACTTTTCTAAGTGCTTTAAAGGAAGGTAAAATTCACATGTGCACAGCACTTTACGTATGCACTGATCAAGTGGCTTCTTATTATGACCGAAGGAGCCACATGTGGCGAAAAGTTTCGTTTGTGTTCTAATCAGTGCGTACGTATATTTAACCTACACCTTGTCACTATCACCATACCACTTTCACTACATGAGAGAAAACCAAGTGTTGGGTGAAACGTTGTACAAATCCCGCTCGTGTGTGTGTGCACATATTTTTTCAGTCAACTTTCAAAGCTGGTTCCTCTTGGTTGGGATTTGGGGAAGTATCTAGTGAGGAGCTCTTGATTCAAAAGACTGGAGTTACCCGCCATGATCACGTTTCCATACCCTCTGTTACCCAGGCGCTCTGTGATCCTTAGGAGACTTAGTATTTCCCATTATACTGTTAGTAATTTTAAAGTAGATTTATAAATGGTCAGAAGTTCTGGCTGACATCTTTGTCTCTCGTCCTCCAGAATCGCATTTCTGCAGTCACAGTTCGGAGAGATGCCAAGTGACTTCCTAAATGAGATGTACAAGTGGGCTCTTGAATGTACGTAACTCTTGGCAACAATGATCACAAAAGAGCTCTTTATGTCAAGGTCTTGAATAAATAATAGATTAATTCAAAGGATGAGGAAACGTATATTTTGCCGATGGAAGATGTTGTACTCTTATGTCGAATGTATTACTTTCAATTTACCAGTGAATAGCTCTTTCGGATTTAACCTTTTCAAGTAATATAATAATTTTTGACAACAAATTTTATTTTAGTTTACATTCATTTGGCTATTTATTATACTTTATACCTTTTTGTATTGTGCAGCGTTTTCAATAAAATATAAAAAAATCATATAATTATGACAGTGCTTTCTTTAAAATTATGATACATTATCCTTTTTTTTTTTTTATACAGCTGTTGGCAGCGTAGCCCTAAATCGCCGACTGGGGTGTTTGGATCCAAATATCGCACCGGACTCCGAACCCATAAGGCTGATCAGACTGGTAAATCAGCTCTTTACTTCTCTGACTGAGGGAGAATTCGGTCCTCATCTGTGGAAGGTGTTCCCAACCCCAGCTTTCAGGAAACTCAAAAAGACTCACCAGGAATTCCTTGAGTAGGTGATTTTTCACTGAATCTTCATCTTGTTTACTGAAGCATCCTGCCTGGAAAAGCTCCAGCACTAGGACCTACATATTAAATAATTTTATATATTAAAAACCTGTTTGGAGAGACAGATAGCTTCCTGAATATTTTTCTTAATTTTATGCCTGAGAGCAATGTTGTCTTCATAAAAACACAGGTGAGGAATAAACTTTATTGTGAAACCGTTTCGCTCTTTATAGTTTTATTTTGGTCAATAACTTGATTACAGTGAAACGTTATCACGATTCAAGCTTGCTTTCATTATAACCTCACTGTATTTCTGTCGGCAGTATGCCTTCGTTTCTTGTATTATATCAAGTAATTAGACACTCCTTAATCTTTGCCACCAGAGCGGCTAGTTCATTGTGCACCCATCCCTCTTCAGAAAGGTTCCACGCCGCTCAGGAACTTTTGAGAGAAAAAAATTGGATCTGCCACCCTATTCTTGTTAGTTTGATGGGTATATACCTAACTACTACGTGTATCTTAAACCCAACCTAAGATGCATTTATACAATATCAGTCGGTTTACATTGCAAGCTGATTCATAATTTTTTAACATTCGTTTTCTCTGTCAGACTAGTATTTAGATCTGGCTTCTAACTGCTTTCACATAACTTTGATTAATTATTTATTATTATATTTTTTTTATAATTATTCGTATTATATCCATTAGTGAGATTTAAGCATAAATATTTTTAATAAATGACTCAGGCAGGCCAGGCGTATGCAGTCTACAGTTTTATATCATAGCACACTCTTTTTGGCTGATTTATCAACCTTATAGAAAAATACGTTAATTTTACTAAAATTTGTTTCTTAAGAAAATAGCTTCCATTGTAAGCTTCTCTAGTAAACAGGTTGTTGGGTATTGTGGAACTGATGATGACAGGAAAACAGTAATGATTCATAAGCCCAATTGTTAATTATGAGGACAAGAGTAAATTGCAGCTGTGCTAACAGACATATATTTGGATTAATCAGTGAAAATTTGAAATATTTGCTAATATCAGTTTAACTATAGATGTCTTAAGGAACGTTTTTAAGAAATATAACAGTAAATGAACTGGCATCATAAAGAGTTTTAGCTAGTAACAGCTAAAGCATATCACCCATCTTTGTGTTTCCTGTTTAGTTTTGCTATAATATTTGGTGTATTGACACCAAATATTTGTAAAATTTGATGTAGCTGATGGAACATGCATTTTCCTTATTAATATCTTAGGGTCAAATGTGTATACGATGAACTCTATTTGATTAAATATTGCTTGAACTTAAATATTGACATCGTGCAGAATTGCGGACAAAAACATCCGAGAGACGGAGGCGGCGTTGCTGGCGCAGGAGCCTAGTGATGACCGGGAACTGACACTGATGGAGGGACTGCTCCTCAAGCCAGGACTCTCCCGCAAGGACGTGGTCACCCTCATCCTCGACATGCTCTTCGCTGGCGTTGATACAGTGAGAATAACTTATATGAATTTACTGATTAGTTTGTAATAGACAAAAAACTAAAGTTGCGTTGTGTAAATTACCGGTTTACCCCTTAATGGGGTTAAATTATTTACTGAGGTAAAACAGTATCAGTCTTTTCATTTACAAACAATTTATACTTAGTTTATATTTTTGCGCTCAAGTCGCTGCTTTACTGTATACACACTCCACACTCAGCATGACATCCATTAGGCTCATGGAAAATTCTCCACAGTTCAGCAGTAGTTCAAGACTTCCTTTAATTTAGACATCAGCTTTGGAGATTTGAAGCCGATCGGATAAGGCATTCATAATTTACCATCTACACAGAAAAACCAATCCAGAAATTTCTCTAGTTATGATATACCGCATTTAGGGTTTGAACTCACTCAGAAGAGTCGTTCTCCAGTTATTGCGTGGAAACCAATGTAATAAAAACTTACTCAACCCAAGATAAATGGGAACGTTCCTTTGATAGAAATTAACTATTGCTAAAAGTTTGAGATCAGTCAGAAGAGGCATTCTCCTGTTATTGTTCGGAATTCAACGATTCCAAAACCCTTTGGGTTTTCTTTCTTCTGCCTTGGTATTTGTTCTTTTATTATCCCCCCCCACCACCACCACCACCCACCACCACCACCACCACCACCCCCACCACCACCATTATTACCTCTCTTGCTCCCCTCAATGTCTGCTGGCCTATATATACTCCCGAACGAACGAACTTTCGTTCGTTCGTTCGTTTCTGTTAGTGTGACTTTGTAAATGGTGCAAGTCGGACCGAAACGTCTTCTATGTGCGGGTTGTGTAACGATTCCAAGTAAATTAAGTACGACAGGAAAGTGAGAGTTCTGGGAGGTGACTTGTGCAGTGTTGTATGCGCCAAGTATACTCTATAATCTCTGAATCCTTTTGTTAATGTTCCGTAATTTAATAATTACTTCTTTTAGTGACTACTTTCCCAACCAGCTATATAGTTGAGCTCCTCTCTGACATCCCTCTTGCTGAGAGTAGTTGCCCTGGTGATGTCTCTTCATGTTTTTGTTGCTTGGTGGGTGACCACAATGCTGTTTGACTCAAGTGTAATTGGTGACAGCAGATTTTTTCTTTTTGAAGGATAACCCAACTAAACTATCCTGCTCACTCTGTTACCAGGTATCGCTTAGAATTTGTTGTCCTTTCCCTGAAGTTCTTGATGAAATGATGGGGAACTTCATTTCCCTATTCATTTCACAGGAACCTCATGGCTATTTTTTTTTTTGGGGGGGGGGGGGGGGGGGAGGGGAAGGGGGGAAGTGGTGTGAGCGCAAGTCAGTCGTGTTGTCTTTGTTGATGGATTTCATGTAGATTTGGAACTTGAGGCAATTATTTATCATTAAGGCATCAAAAGTGTGAATTAGCACGTTCATTCTCCAAAGGCCAATTGAATACAGCGCTCCATATTATTCTCTTTACAGTATTTATAATTTGATGATACAACAAAACATATAATGTGCGTTCCTTCACTTATATCTGTGCATCTTTCTATAATATGTCCTCAGACGTCACACACTCTGAGCTTCGTAATGTACCTGTGGCCAGACATCCGGAGGTGCAGATAAAAGTTCAAGAGGAGATTGATACAGTGCTCGGGGATCACGAGGGTCCACTCACACACCATCACCTGGCTAAGCTTCACTACCTCAAGGCTGTTGTTAAAGAATCTATGAGGTATAACTTACTGTAATCACTGCAAACATATTAGTAAATACATTTACAGCAATAATATTTATATCAGTATTTGCAACAAATCAGCGAAATAAACTTGCTGCTCATATTTATTATTTATGCACCATTAAATGTAAGCTATTTAAATATATATTGTTTAAAATTTAAAATCGTTATCTCGCCGCCTATTCAATAATTAGGACAGAATGCTCATGTAGTTCATGTTATCATTTTCAGGCTTCTTCCTACAGTGATGGGCATAGCAAGAACTTTGGATAAGGAACTTGTTATCAGTGGATATTTAATTTCCCAAAGGGGTGTGTAACATTCACCTTATAATTAACCATACAGTACTTTCCTTCACAAAAGTGATCATAGTTTCACCTAAAACTGCAAGTAATTGTCATTAATTATACCTATTTTGATTATCCCTAAGTTACCGAAACATCATCTAGATGCACCTTCAGTTTGTAAGTAAATTATGGCAAATTTTTTATACTCTGTTAATTAGCATTTTAACACCTTTTTTTATACTCTGTTAATTACCATTTTAACACCTTTACTTTACCATTTGTCGGTAATGACCAAGAATTATTCTTTGTTAACTTGATGAATATCATCTCACTTTAACGCCTTTTTTTCTTACATAGTGGTCAGTGATGGTAGTTACCATGCTAATGGGTTTGGACGAATCACTTTTCCCTCGAGCGAAGGAGTTCCTGCCGGAGCGTTGGATGAGAGACAGGCCCCTGGGTCCCATTCATCCTTACTCCTTATTTCCTTCGGCGCTGGCACCAGGATGTGCGTCGGTCGACGCATCGCGGAACAGGAGATGTACACCTTCCTTGTTAGGGTAAGTGATCCTCTAGTTTAAAAATTGATGGTTTTGAATATAGCCCCTGCGGTCCAGTCTTAGTCTCGATTGGATTTTGCCACCGAAGTGGCTAGTTTATTGTGCACCTCATATTCATCCTGTGGACGGTAGTGCAAGGGCATAGAGATACACAAAAGGCTAGGAACTAGGCCCCAAAATGGTTAATAGGTGTACATTTGGATTTATATCTACAGTTCACTTACCTGTTACAAGAAAATTTTAGGAAATTTACTTAGTATATCTGGTATATTATTTTCATTAATAAGTTTATTTTGACTTGTCACATAGGTTATTATACTGTCTGTCTCGGAACTAAGAGTTGTATATAAATTAAATAAATAAAATGTATGTATTATTTTAGGATCACTAAAATTAACTTGATGATTGTCCTCAAGGGCGTACACGTATTGAGGACAATAATAATGTTTATGCTGTTAAAGACGACGTTTGAAATCATTCATTTCCCCAACGAAGCCTTTAAAACACACAATACATGGAAACTTATAAATACTGGAATCCAGTTGGGTGTATTCCGAAAACCATTTTGCTGACGGCAATGTTTTAACGGAATACAAAATCAAAAAGGAAATTAATGAGACACATGCGCGTCATATTGGTATCCGCAGCATGTGGAGGCCCATGGCTGGCATTCATATCTGAAACAGGATTCAAATTCGAATTTATTTTACGTATTGTTAACAGTTGATCATTTCAGAGATCGTCCCCCCCTACTGACTGTTCTCAGACCAGCCTTCCGGTTAACGATTTTCACCCGTTTTTGACTCTTATGGGCTGAGAGCACTTTGTGATAATAATACTAATGATAATAATACTACTACTACTAATAATAATAATTATAGTAATAATAGTTATGATGAAACCAACAGCTTTTTTTATCAGAAACCGTATCCTGAAAATATCAAGTTGTCACACTTTAAATATTGGCAGTAATTTCTCGTTTTATTGATATGACGGAGAATCTATACATCTCAAATTTATAAGAATTAAGATAAATTTGTGTTACATATGAACTAAAATAAACCGTTTTAATAATAGTAATAATTTATTCGTGTACAGCTGATGCAGCGCTTCACTGTTGATTACAAGTATGACGACATTGAAGTTGTGTGTCGCCTACTGCTTAACTCTGCTAAACCACTCAAGTTTAGCTTCACTGAGCGGCGATGATTGACTACTGCGAGGGGTGCTGGACTACTGTGAGAGGTGCTGATGGACTACTGTGAGAAATGCTGATGGACTACTGTGAGAGATGCTGATGGGCTACTGTGAGAGTTGCTGATGAACTACTGAGAGGTGCTGATGGACTACTGTGAGAGGTGCTGATGGACTGCTGTGAGAGGTGCTGATGGACTGCTGTGAGAGATGCTGATGGGCTGCTGAGAGGTGCTGATGGACTACTGTGAGAGGTGCTGATGGACTGCTGTGAGAGATGCTGATGGGCTACTGAGAGGTGCTGATGGACTACTGTGAGAGGTGCTGATGGACTACTGTGAGAGGTGCTGATGGACTACTGTGAGAGGTGCTGATAGAGTACTGTGAGAGGTGCTGATGGACTACTGAGAGGTGCTGATGGACTACTGTGAGAGGTGCTGATGGACTACTGTGAGAGACGCCGCCTAACTACTGGGCGAGGCACTCTTTGATAGCTACGAGAATTGCTACGATTTATTTTTTTGCTCCCCTCTTTTTGATGAAATTGTATATGGTGTGTTTTTATATGGTAGGTGTATCTCACATGATACATTATATAGATATGTTTGTGAAAAAGTTCAACTCTCTTCCATAATAAATCAATTTCAAACTTGGAATGAGTGGAAATAACTTGTGTAACGGAAAACAAAATAATCCAGAAAAATAATTACTTGTATATTTGCAAATAAAACTACTCTGATATAAATAATACATGTGAAACACTTGGATACCTCTTTTATGTAGATTTTTTTTCCCAGTCAGTGACCTCTGTTCAATAAAAAAAATAATTTTGAAGACGGTTAGAAGTATAGGTAATTTTGAGGTGTTTAGTCCCTTGGCCTTGAAAGGTAATCATTTCCTTAGCTTTCATAGAGCTTTCTAAGCTTATATACCGGAGGCCAGAGAGAGATTCAGTAATTGAAGACATCAAGGTGGGCGGAACTCACTTGTGGAAGTTGGTCAGTACCCAAGAGTTTTGCTAGAGGTGGGCAGTAGACTTTTAGAAGATATCTCAGTATCAAGGTTCCAGGACGGTTCTATGCCAGACATGTATCATTGAATTAATGGTATACAGCGCCAGCACAAATGACGAAGTAAAAACAGTGTACACACGTTACACATGTGCTCTATTTCATCAACTTGTTGGTATTCTATTCAGCAAGTCATGGAATCTTGATACTGTGTATATCTTCTAATTATGATAAAAGAACTGTGGCTGATATAATGTAAATTATAAAAGAAAATGTCTTCAACAAAATGACCCTCACAGGTTAAGCATATTCACTTAATTGTCTATTATTTACTATATGTTTTATGCGTAAAACCAATTTTTCACAATTCTTCGGTTGTTTTATTAACAATGTTATGAAAATGTAGAACATATTTTTTTTTAGGGACAAAGCAAAGGGATTTCAGGAAAAAAAAAAAGTCATAAATTTTGCCTGTCATATACGCCGGTTTTTTTTATATATATCTATTTGTGGACCCTTTGATATATCGTTGGGTGTGATAAAGCGTGAAGTCAAACTCTATAAAATGTTGATCATACTGATGTTAGTTAGTTTAATATCTTTATTATGCACACCATACCCATCCTGTGGACGGTAGTCAAAAGATTACCGGCGAATCTTTAAAAAAAAAATAAAAAAAAAAGCCAAAAGATCAGTTACTACTACATCGACACCATGCCCAGCCCTTCTAGGGTTTATCTGGAGAGAATTCCGGGGGTCAACGCCCCGCGGCCCGGTCTGTGACCAGGCCTCCTTAGGTCAGTGTCCCAGGATGCGACCCACACCAGTCGACTAACACCCAGGTACCCATTTTACTGATGGGGAACATAGACAACAGGTGGAAAGAAACACGTCCAATGTTTCTACTCTGGCTGGGAATCGAACCCAGGCCCTCACCGTGTGAAGCGAGAGCGTTAACCACCAGGTAGGTGCCTGAGCTAGAGCTTTCAGCTCACAAGATTGCCGTTCCCATTAGCCCCCTTGGGGCGGGGATGGCAGACCAGAGAGGCCTAGCTTCTCCCTACGAGCCCCGTGAGGGCGGGGAATGTGGCTAGGCCTGGGGACAGTTGTCGTCCAAAGATGAGGGGGTACTTATGCCTCCTCCATGGGAGACTTAGGTCTCAGACACTCCCTAGACAGGAAGCCAAGTCCGGACCACCACTTGGAAAAGGCCCGGGCCGGGAGAATACCGGCGAATCTTTAATAATAATAATAATGTCAAAAGATTATGGAGGTACATAATGGGTCCAGGGACTGGACCGCAAAGTTAATGGTTAATAAACTATTTACATGTTTATATCTGGTTACAATCTTAATGAGTTATTTATGCAGGCATGAATTTAGTCACAAAAATATTAAATTATATTTTAGGAAGGTATGCATGTAAAAAAAATAAATGGTTACGCGTTATTTACAAAGGGCAAAGTCAGGATATTTTTCAAGAAAGGTTGGTAATATGCGACTGTGGAAAATACTTGACATGCAGATG